TGGTGGACGTATCGACATTTTCCGAGCTATGCTGATGAGGCTTGTCGACCTATGCTGAGCAATGATGTCGAGGTCCAACGACATCTGTCAAGCTGTGTTGGGCATCACTTTGCCGAGCCTTGAGAACTATCCTCCATGCATTTCATCAAACATTTAAGGGTAAATTACATAGTAGCCCCTCAGGTTTGAGGTCTATTACAATCTCATACAACATCTTTAAAACATTTCACTTTCATACCTCACGTACTATTTTATTTCAAAATAATACCTCCGTTACATTTTCCATCTATTGATCTGTTAAGTGCTGACATAGCTGCCACATTTGTGCCACGTGGTTGCCAAATGTGTGCCACGTGGCAAAACAATAATTTTTTATTTAAAAAAAAAAACCTAAATCTTCTAAAATAAATTATAAAACTAATAAAAAAATAAAAAATAAAAAACCAAAGCCCACTTCGTCTTCCCTCCCTCCTCCTCCCCCCTCCCCCCCCCGCAACCTGCAACCCAGAATAAGAGGAGGAGGAAAAAAAAGAAAAAAAAAATCATCTTCATCTTCCCCATGGCACCCATCGCGCACCCACCCTCTTACCTCCTCTACACACCCCCACCACACCCATCTTCTTCCCCATCTTCATCTTCTCCGCAACCTAGAAAAAAAAAAAAAAACACCCTTTAAGTTCATCTTCCCCCCTGCAACCCAGCCCAGCCCACCCCCTGCAATCATCTTCCTCATCCCCATCCCCAGCCGCATTACTTCTTCTCCCTCCCTTCATCTAAAAGCCTACAAAACCCTAATTTTTCCCCCAAATCGACTGCTCTACTCAGAAGACGACTCCCGCCGCCATGGCCGTTGTCAATAGATTCGAATGCACTAGCTACTGCGGCTGCAGAGGCTCCAGATCCACCTTGAAATGCCTCTCAAGTAAATATCCGATAAAACCAAAAATCCAATTTCAATAAAAGAAAATAAATTTTGGATTGTTGTAATTTTCCAAGAAAATTCAAACAAATTTCCAAAATAATTACATAAATTTTCAAAAATCAATAAAAAGAACAAAGGGTTTCTGTAATTTTCCAAAAAGGCAGATCTTTCATACCTTGATTTGGAGAAGACAACGGCTGGGGGGGGCGTTTCTAATGAATTTGTCGTGCCTCATCGATGCAAGCAAGAAAGTGTGGTTATAGAAAACGAGGGAATGGGCGAGCTGAAAGAGGGTGAGTCATGTTGCCCAGAAACCCAGTGAAGTGTGCCGGGTCTTCGACATCCTCCTTCTTTTCTTCGACTTCTTCTTCTTCAACTACTTCCTGTGCTGGTTGATTTGGGGTTTGGGTATGACCTGTTGTTGCTTTTTGGAGGGTTTGGTGGAGCTGAGCTTTCTCTTTTTCGCCATTATAGGAGGGGGAGCAAGGCGTCGTGGATAAAGGGAATAGGTGGGGCCGTGGGGGTGGGGTGGGATGGGGGATTTGGGTTGCAGGGAAGGGGTGGGTTTTTTAGATGGGAGGGGAGGTGAAGAGAGTGGAGGAGGGTGGGGGAATGAGATTCTGGGTTGGAAAATGTAAACAGGGTTGCGGGTTCAGCTTTTTTTTTTTTTTTTTAAATTTAGAAGATTAAGGTTTTTAATTTTTATTTGCCACGTGGCAGACATTTGGCAGCCACGTGTCATATATGTGGCAGCCACGTCAGCATTTAACAGATCCATGGATGGAAAATCTAACGGTTGTATGAAATTGAAATAAAATAGTACTTGAGGTATGAAAGTGAAATGTTTTAAAGATGTTGTATAAGATTGCAATAGACCTCAAACCTGAGGGGCTACTATGTAATTTACCCAACATTTAATGAACTCTATTGAGGCTTGTACCAGACTGTCAGAGTTCCCAAAGGACCTTTCGAGCCGTTTCCGGTTTTTGGTAAGAGGTTGGGATCCAACATATCCCTTAATGGAACCCGCGCTTATTCCCTCGTAATTAAGAGAGACCGCATCGTATACAAAATTCTCTTCCAAAACACAGTGCCTAAAAAGGCTTTAACCCTTCAAGTACATAATTGAAGCATGTAACGCACTGTGTCGGACTCTTAGGTATCGTTTGGTATGCAGACGGGACAGGATAGAACGGAATGGGACTGGACGAGACGAGACAGGACGAGACGGAACAGACAGGGAGCAAAGATGCCATCAGATGGAAACAAGGAGAAAGAAGAAGGTGACAAATAGGTTATAATTTTGTGTTACACGAATGTGGAATGAGTCATTCCAGGGGGTGAGGCGGAACGAAAATTCACCCAAAATTCGTCCAGTGGAACAACGCGTTCCACCCATTTTAGGCGCACCAAACGTGGGACATAACACCTCGTCCCATTCCATTTCGTCATGTCCCACATACCAAACGGTACCTTACGTCATATTATGTTAGGTGGTGGACTAGACCTGGCAGTTTTTTACACGACACGGTGACATGACACGAAAACGACACGAAAATAACAGGTTTCGGGTCAACACGATAACTTATCGGGTCACTATCGGGTGACCCGTTAAGAACCCGTTAATAACGGGTTCTTAACAGGTATACACGCGGGTAACACGTGGGTAACCCGTTTCGACCCGTTAAGAAAAAAATTATTTTAATAATTTTAAAGTTTAATTAATAAAAGATTTATTATAAAATATACAATAGTCATATTAATATATAAATATATTCTATATTAAATATATAGTTTTGTATTATTGTTCTATATAAATTATAAAAAAATAAAAAAAGTTTTAGTCATTATTATTTTTATTACGAGAGTTCCTTATTATCATTACTAGGATAAATTTTACATAACATATTCTTGTCCAAAATTAAAATATACTAGTATAGTATTTGTATATGCAAGAACTAAGAAGACATACATACAAGTATGAAAAATGTGAAAGAATATATAAACACTCGTGATTTATCATTATTCCTTCACGAATAGATAATTGTTACACTTATATTATCGTTTAGATTTTTAAAATCCTTCAAACCCTCATGAATAATGTTTTTTATTTGAGGGCAAAATTAATAAAATTAATAATAATTATTGTAGAAGTGTAAAAAATGTAAAAAATTATATATACAATCACTCATATATAAAAAATGTAAATACTTTAAATTAAAGATCAAATTTATTCATTACATTCTTATAGGGTCAAGGAGTGTATATGTACAAAATCATCAAAATCGGAGCTAAAATAACCGTTAAATTGTGATTTTTCGTTTATAACCGTCGAAAACTTTTGTTCCGTTACGTAATCTCTGAATGTTTGTTTTTTACAATTTTTTACGTTTGCAATCTCGGAATGTGTACAAATAAGTTTGACAGTTGGATCGTTGAAAAAAGTTTCGTAGAATGCATACTGCATCAAAACGATAGATTAAACAAACACTTAGAGTTAATATTATACTTCTATTAAGTATAAAATAAGTTTTTGTGGTATCCACTAGTGGTAAATACTTTTAAATTAAAGATCAAATTTATTTATTACATTCTTATAGGGTCGAGGAGTGTATCTGTAAAGAATCATCAAAATCGGAGCTAAAATAACCGTTAAATTGTGATTTTTCGTTTATAACCGTTGATAACTTTTGTTCCGTTACATAATCTCTGAATGTTTGTTTTTTACGATTTTTTATGTATGCAAATCTTGGAATGCGTACAAATAGTTTGACGGTTAGATCGTTAAAAAACGTTTTGTAGAATGGCATATTGCGTCAAAATAGTAGATTAAACAAACACTTAAAGTTAATATTATACTTCTATTAAGTATAAAAAAAGATTTTGTGGTATCCACTAGTGTAAATACTTTAAATTAAAAGATCAAATTAAATTCATTACATTCTTATAGGGTCGAGGAGTGTATCTGTAAAAAATCATCAAAATCGGAGCTAAAATAACCGTTAAATTGTGATTTTTCGTTTATAATTGTCGAAAACTTTTGTTCCGTTACGTAATATCTGAATGTTTGTTTTTTACAATTTTTTACGTATGCGATCTCATAATGTGTACAAATAAGTTTGACAATTGGATCGTTGAAAAAAGTTTCGTAAAATGCATATTGCGTCAAAACAGTAGATTAAACAAACTTAGAGTTAATATTATACTTCTATTCAAGTATAAAATAAGTTTTTGTGGTATCCACTAGTGTAAATACTTTAAATTAAAGATCAAATTTATTCATTACATTCTTATAGGGTCGAGGAGTGTATCTGTAAAAAATCATCAAAATCGGAGCTAAAATAACCGTTAAATTGTGATTTTTCATTTATAACCGTCGAATACTTTTGTTCCGTCACGTAATCTCTGAATCTTTATTTTTTATGATTTTTTACGTATGTAATCTCGGAATGTGTACAAATAATTTTGACGGTTGGATTGTTGAAAAAAGTTTCGTAGAATGCATTGTGCATCAAAACGGTAGATTAAACAAACACTTAAGAGTTAATATTATACTTCTATTAAGTATAAAATAAGTTTTTGTGGTATCCACTAGTGTAAATACTTTAAATTAAAGATCAAATTTATTCATTACATTCATATAGGGTCGAGGAGTGTATCTGTAAAAAATCATCAAAATCGGAGCTAAAATAACCGTTAAATTGTGATTTTTTGTTTATAACCGTTGATAACTTTTGTTCCGTTACGTAATCTCTGAATGTTTGTTTTTTACGATTTTTTACGTATGAAATCTTGGAATGTGTACAAATAAGTTTAACGCACCAAACGTGGGACATAACACCTCGTCCCATTCCATTTCGTCCTATCCCACGTACCAAACGGTACCTTACGTCACCAGTCTAGCCCAAAGTCCAAAATTAGTCCCAATCCTTATGCCTTCCTAAATGGGCTAAAAAGCTGACAATCCAGTAACGGGTCCAGAACAGAACCCGCCCAACGGTGCCATATGACCGTTGCATATAATTATTTGGGCCAATTGGGTTCATCTGATAGGCCCAGTTTTATAGTTATCACTGTCGCACTCCTCATTCCTATAAAAGCTATAACCCCTTTAGATTTTAGAAAACCCTAACAAACGCAGAGCTTCTCACTTCCAGCAGCTGCCGCCACCACTCCGACTTCCCCAAAGGTATAGATTTCTTCTCTCCTACTTCCATTCCGAGTCTTCAAAATCCTCGCCGATTCGATAAAATTCTCAAATCCGTTTCTGTGTTTGCTGGATTTTGTTTCTAGGGTTATAATCTCGACCGCCAAGATGCAAAACGAGGAGGGAATCATCACCGAGCTCTACATCCCGAGGAAATGGTACCCATTCGAATCTAATCGGCGATTTATTTTTTTGTGCGATTGTTTTGTTTTTGGGATTGGGATTTTAGGGTTAAATTTTGTGGTGTTTGTTTGGATGCAGCTCGGCGACGAACAGGCTGATCACCTCCAAGGACCACGCGTCTGTTCAGATTAACATTGGGCATTTGGATGAGCATGGCATCTACACTGGCCAGTGCTCCACCTTTGCTCTCTGCGGCTACGTCCGTGCTCAGGTTTTGCCGTCTTTCCCTCGTTGTACTGTGTTACTGTGTTAATATTTGTGCTTTTATTGGGCATTTGTGAATGTATTGGTTGTTAAGAATGTGTAGAACGGTTGCGGAAATTGATTATATTTGTGTGTTTTCCGTTGGGTTAGTCTCATCTGGTTCTGTCGTTGGCTCGTAAGACTGCATTCTTTAGCTATATTACAAAGTACATGAATTCAGAGGCTGGATTTGAACCCCACAACGGGGAAAATAACATACAAGTCCCACATCGAATAACTCTTGCTGCGGTTGTAAATCCTAAACTGTGCCGAAACCATCACTTTTTATTCAGCCATCATTTTTTATCATATCGGGACACAAGTGCTACTACAGTTTTGGAAATTGTTCGATTACTGATAAATTTTAAACAAAATCATATTGACGCCTACAGTCAAACTCAAAAATATTGGGTTACTAATGGTTTTTTATTAGGTTTTCAGTTGTTCTCCAATGATAATTAGCATCCTCTTATAATTTCGGATCGGTCATTTGCAATATTGGCATTCCATCTGTTGTGCTCTGATTTCTTGTGCTTTCTTTTGTTTTGTAGGGAGAGGCCGACAGTGGTTTGGACCGTCTCTGGCAGAAGAAGAAAACCGAAGTTAAACAGTAGAAAGAGATGATTCTTCTTCAGTTCATGGGGATGAGTTGTTTAATTTCTGAACTAAATTATGTGATGTCTTATTCCATTAGTACTGAATGTTGCAAGTAGTTCCCAACCTTTTGGTGTTCTTGAAATGGGCTGTTCTTTTGACGATTAGGTAGTGAAACTTCTACCCATTGAGTATCTTAATTATATTTCTGGTTTCGTAAAATTATTTCCACTGATGATATGCATGATTATTCTTATGATCTATGTCAAAAATTGTCCACGGATGATTATTCTTTTGAGCATCGACATAGATAATGTTCTGTGGGTATTGCCTTCTCTAGCAAGTAACACAAGTTTAGATCCCCCTCACTTATGAATTGTCGTTAACTTGTCAATACTCATGTGAATTGTCAATGCGTAGAATAATACGCAATGTTTTATCATTAATTACGGAACATTTCCTCTCTGGATTCTGTTTCGCTCAACCCTTTCGATTTGTGGCGGTTGAGCAAGTGCAGAAGCTCGAGGCCTTTCTGCCTCAAATCGACCCCATAATGCACCAAGACCGTGCTGTACACGTAGGTTGCTTCTATGAAGTGGTCGCACATCCCTTTGCCGATGTTGACCTCCTCCAATATTTGATTGTCCTGAGCGCTTTTGTTGAAATTCTTGCAACTTAACTTGGCCGAGTAAACATCATCGAAAGAGCGCACAGCAACCTTCGCGAGTCTTCGACAAAAAGCTCGTTCGGAAGAGACTATGGATGATGAGGCGTTTCATCGACAAAAAGCTCGTTCGGAAGAGACTGTATGGACGATGAGGCGTTTGCTTTCTTCATTGATATTGTGAGAGGCCATTGACGATGCCTGAACAAAAGCCTTCTAGGTATTGAACCAAAAAAAAAGCTTCTCTACGTTTTGTATCTTACTTTTGCCAAGCTTAAAAATACATTAAGATTAAAAATAAGAAGAAATATATATATAGATAATCTGAGGAAAACATCAACAAAAACCCTAGTGAAAAGTACCTGAAGAGCAGAAGCGGAAGCCTCAAGAACTTGGGAAGGACAAAACTAGCATACTTCATAAATAATACAATTTTTTTTTAAATAGATATATGCTAGCATCAGTTGCAAACGAGACACACTTCTGTTAGAAATTTTAGACCATGAAAAACTCAAACCATCAACCATAGAAAAATGCTTCAAGCAAATAGCTAGAATATAACCTTTTTGGTAGTGCTGCAGGCCCTCGTGTGATGTGGCATAAAATTGTAAACCTGGTGGTCACAAATCTTTACCGGAAAACGGTGCCAAGGTTGGACAAGTGCGACAAATTAGAAAAATTCTTCCCTTCCGACTGCTCGTATACGGCAATACACTCACAATCTGAAGGGTGTTGCTCTGAATCGACAATAGAATTAAAAAAAATTCTCAACCAATAAGGATGAAAAGGAAGATGGTACGTAAATTTTTCTAATGATGTTATTAGTTAAAAATCAAATCTAGCAATTAAAATACGTAGCGATATGAGTAATGTTTTATTGACAGTTACCATACAATCTTTTGTTATTATAGCACGTGCGAATTAAATAACAGGACCTAGTAAACTTCTCATTAACACGGTAATTTCTTCATGGGAATAGATTGCGTTACGTACACGTAACTAAAAGGTCAAAGTTTCAAAAAAGGTGAAAATTTCAAAATTCGACAGCTAAATAATAATTAAAAAATTAGAAAAATCAAACGTGGCATTGTATTTTAGGCCGTGGTGGACTACTAGAGGCGCCAGCGCCACGCAACGGCTTACGAGTTCCGAACGCCGCGGCGACTCAGTTTTCAAATCGGCATTCGCCGGCAGCCATGGATTCGAGCAGCTCGGGCTCCACGAAGCTTGATTACTTCGACGACACGTGGAAGCTCCAATCCACCGCCACATTGCTATCCGTATCTAAAGTCAGTTGCTTTTCACTTCACACTCTTCATTCCTTTCCTTTCTATTCTGTTTGTTTCCCGAGAAAATACTGCCAGAAAATTAATGCAATCCCTAATTGGATTTTACCGTGTGCTTTGTTGTTTGAAAGGGGGAAGATGGACGAACCGCCTTGGTATTGGACCGGACGATCTTCTATCCCCAAGGTGGCGGGCAACCTGCCGACACCGGCTTCATCGCCGCTTCCGATTCCGGGGTCAAATTCGTAGTAGAAGATGTGCGGTCCCGAGACGGCATAGTAAGTAATCAAATTGTTGATATGGTCTCTCTCTCTATAATTTTCAAATGTTTGATTAGAAAATAAAAAATTAATGTCTTTGATTGGTGTTTCACTTAATTTTGATTAGGTTTACCACTACGGTTTCATTGAAAATTCCTGTGAGGAATCGGAGTCGAAATTCGAGAAAGGGAAAGAGGTGCTGTTGTGTGTGGATGAGTCTAGGCGCAGGCTTAATGCTAGGTACGCATATACTCGAAGAAATCGGATCATTTGATTGTTTATATTTATAATTAAGTTGCTCAACTTGTTCTTTGATTGAGCATTTATTGTCTAACCAAAACCAAGTTCGATTTCGGCCAAAAAACTCCGAAGATGGTTTGCTTACATGCTGTTTCGTGTTCTATATTTTGAATGTTGTGGAATTGTTTATGTGCAGGCTTCACTCAGCTGGGCATTTGCTGGATACATGTATGAGAAATATGGGATTGGGTGATTTAGAGCCAACCAAAGGCTACCATTTCCCTCAGGGGTATGATTTATTTCTGCTTTATTGCTCCCTCAGGGGTATGCTTTATTTCTGCTTTATTGCTTTAAGCCTAGATTACAAAGTGTAGGTATGTTTCTTGTTGCAAAATCTTCTGTTAATATCAGGGACCTAAACGATTAGTCGGCAAGAATCTTGTTTCTAATTCTTTCCTCAATCCTCGTTTCTTGGCATTTGAGTTTCTTTGTTATGCAATTTATATTGAAAAATTTCGTAGTTATCTTAAAATAAACAAAATAGAAAAGACACGATCACTCTCAATTTAGATATGTTTAAATGTGAGCTGCCAGGATTTTTTTCAACGTAACAGCACAATGATCCTTCCTTTTGAGTGTAGTAACCACTCACTTGTACTTCAATTTTCCACGAGTCAATCTATCTGTGGAAAACAGCACAATGATCGGTCTTCGTGGGCTTTAAAGTGAAAACTTTTCACCATCCCATGAATGAACACTAGGAACTTTTATGTTGTTGACGCGTGAATTCGGATCGACATATGTAGATGGCCTAATAACAGTCACATGTAAACACGATGATTTGAGTGTAGCCGAGAGCACCCCCACCCATTTGGCTTGGGCAGCAGCTGCCTTATGTAGGCCTCCAAACCTTCTCCATAAAGTCTCCTGTATGTTATGTGGTTCTAGTGGAAAGGGTTATGGGGCCCAATATAAGCCACCAAATAAATACGCTACTTAGAGCCAATTAGGTCAATAGTGTTCCTTTGGATTGAGGATCCAGTGGAGTTGTCTCGATATATCGGATAAGCTTTTACCCCAAAACAGATAAACCGTACAAAAAAACCAGCACTGGCATAAGTGATGAGTAAATGACACATGCTTCACCAATTCTTCTCAAATTTAAATTAGTTCATTGCTAGCCTCAGTATTCTGAGATGTGAACAGTTTTTTATCTTTGAGACACGATGTTGTTGTTTGCATATCCTTCTGAATTAGCACTTGTAAATTCATAATATTTCCAGGCCATATGTGGAATATAAAGGCACAGTTCCACAAAAAGATACAGAAAGTAAGCGAAAGGAGTTGGAGGTAGAAGCTAATGTGTTAATATCGAGAGGAGGAAAAGTGAGTTGCAATATTTAGGATTTATCTAAAGTTGCATGCTTGGTATGGAATATTAGATCTAATCCGTTTCCATATTTTTGTAAGGTTTCTGCTGCCTTGTTACCATATGAAGAAGCGTGTAAGCTGTGTGGTGATTGCCTTCCCGATTATATTGCAAAGGTTATTCCTTACACTAGACCTGTTTTCAATACATGCTCATATTGGACCCTTCAAACTTCAGTGCTGAAAATCGTCGAGTGCTAACTTTAACTGCATTTACTTTTTTGCATCTCTGATCTCTTGCAGGACAGCACTCCTCGCATTGTGAAGCTAGGGGACAGCCTTGGCTGCCCATGTGGCGGTACCCATGTTTCTGATATATCAGAGATCAAGAGCATTACGGTAAGATCCATTTGCTTCAATGTTCTTATGAACTGATTGATGTCCCAATTTTTTTGCAAAATTAGTAGGATGAAGTGAGTGCTTCAAGAAAGTCTTTTACTGCTTGTTCAGGTTACTCAAGTACGGACAAAGAAAGGATCGACAAAGGTCTTTTACAATATCGGGTGACTCGGGTCCTATTTCTTGATGTAATATTTTGCACTCTCATTGATACAAAGATCTGCATCATTGTGTAGAAACTAGAAATTGACAATTTATATTTTTATTATAGAGTGTTCTTGTAAAACTATAAATTTTTCGGGCTTTTAAAAGGATTTTACGAGTAGTGAATCACTGGTTGTAATTTGTTTGTATTGTGTACATGATGTATTCAGTATTTAATTAAACAGTCGCCGCTTAATTAGTATATACAGAGAAACTCCATCGACACTCCACAGGAATAGACAAGGAGCGCAGTTTGTCTCGTTCGGACGAGTCGAAAGCGACACCATCCTCATTCGGATTTCCTGGTTTGAGGTTCCGATTAAGACTCGAAACTTAAATCCGGCAGCCGGAAATCGCAATGCCTGCGGGGTGTACCCGGAGATGCCATACGTGTGCGGTCCACAGTCGACATCTAAAAATGCATGAAAATTTTCGTACAAAATGTCGAACCCAGTCACTATTTGCCACAAAATTACAAAATTATTGGAATTGTACACAAATTTGGATTACACATTTGTCTCGGTCAAAAAGTTTCTTTTGATAAGCGATAGGACAACTACGTTGAATTCATCTAAGATATGAGGATGGAGATTTGAATTTGGGCACAAAAGATAAAACACATTGTTTTAGCCAACTTAGCTTAACACAGACGACAGTTAGAAAAAGTTTATGTTGGCTCTTATTTTCTTTGACTTCATATCTTTTCAGTTGAAATGTGGCTTCTCGTTAGGGTTTAAAGCCATCTTTCATTAACATGACATCTGATGACATATTGACACAGCCAAAATATATCATGTGATGGAGACCTTCGTTGACATTTGTATACGAGGAAAAAAAA